TTTGTATTTTTGATCAAATAAATGCAGCATTGAGCATAAGAGACTTCTTTCAAAAACACTTTTTGACCTCAAACCTTTGAATGGCAGTGTACATACAGCACAAATAATATCTAAATACATTAGGCTGCCTAAATACTCAACTAATCAGTCTCAATAAACATTTATATATATACTGTAATTTTTTTTATAGTAAGGATGCACAGATAATAAAATTCTGACACCAGAATCTGAAAATTACCAATAAATGGCTGCTATTAAAAGTATACACTATTTTGTCTAAATAAATTTAAAATAATTTATAATGCTACAAATGAATATAGGCATCACAACATTATAATGTATAGTATGAAAAAATTATATTTATTTTGAGATCTGTTAAAGATTACATTTAACAAGGTTATTACATTAAATCATTATTATTAAACAATTTAATTAAATAATTTATTGGTGTTTTAAAATGAGCGTTGCAATGACGGCAAAGGTAATCTAAATGTAAACACTGATTGAAACCAATGAAATAAAACGCATGATAACCTGTATGAAAGTGAACATGTGTGGGTAAAAGTGATCAGTGGCTTTTACCTGTACGAGTTCATTTATACGGTGAAGATCATCACTGGCTCCGGCCTTCTTCTTCGGAACGAGGCCTTCCTGGAGAGTCGTCAGACGACTGTAAACATCACGTTCCAGATTCGTCTGCAGACAGGTGACAAAACACACTCATTCTGACATAAGCTTGACATAACCACTGTCTGATAATGAATTAAAGAGAAAGTCCCACCAGCTGCATGAGCTGAGCTGCGCAGAGGTGAATTTTCCAGCCCTGGGCTCTGCACACCACCCCTTTCTGATTGGCCACATCCTGCAGGCTGCCCTTCTTGTCCTCTGATTGGATAACACAAGCTGGTATTAATGAATGATGACAGACTATATAATTGTATTCATGCAAAATGGACAAGATGATATTATGGGATGAGCCTAGACAAACCCTTGACACGGATGTCACTGTATCTCTGAAAGTGGTGGTATGCCGCCTTCCAGGGGTTACGGTAGTGGCGCAGTAGAGTGATCGGAGGACGAACTCGGGTAGGAACATACCGAACTCCCTCTTCATCTGCAAACAGATGAAGAAACAGATACACTTAATATAGGCATTAGAGGCTACACTGTCTTAGTAATGAAACTGGGTTTCTTAAACTTCAATATCAAATCATATTACATAACTTGTGATAAGTCAAAAATGTACAGATGTACAGTCCCACAGTTGCTAGTCATTTCCAGGACAGCTTACAAACTGCTTGGAAGGATAATTCTGATCTTTATCTCTATGTTGTTTATCTTATTCCATCAACTTTATTAAGTTTGGCCTCTGTTCAGTTATGTTACAACACTGTCACTGTTGCCATTTCATAATGTACTATTTAGAGCAAAGGTTGGTGGACTCTCACAGGTAGAAGGCGGTAAGGAGCCTTAAGATGTTCCACAAAGAAAAGAAGAGAATCTTTTTTTTTCAGACATAGGAGAAACAACAATCAAAGACTTGTTAGTAAGTATCATTGTAGTGTTTGTTGTACTGGTTTTTAATTTAATTTTAATTTGATGATTTTAATAAAAAAAAAGAAATCGTCCAATAAATTTTTTTTTTTTTTTGTGCATTGTGACACTATTTTTATGGCAAATAACCTTCCTCCAACTAGCAGTTCTGAAATGCAACAACCTCATTCTCATTACTGTAATGTGGAAAAAAAGATTTAAATTATTCAATAATATTTAATTGTATTATTTAAATGATTTAAATTATAAAAGTACACTTCTAAAGTAACATTTGAAATATCGTAGAAGTATTTTTATTTAATTTAATTTGTGCTGATTCTAATAAAATAAAATGATACAAATTCTAATAATTCTTCTAAAATTCTATTCTAATAAAAATATAATAATGAAAACACCATTGTCCTACAAAGTGAAAACTCTCAGATTATCAAACCACACGTTCAAGGACCTTTCTGGATCGTCTAAAAACCTTGAAGAAACAGCTTTCATAGTAATGAAGCTTACCAATGTATTCTTTAGGAGGGGACTTGCGTTTCTCTGCACGTTGGCTGAGGGGTGGGAACTTCTCCTCATCTGTGCTGTTGGTCTCCATCATCTCGCTCTCCTCAGTGGAGATGACGTGCTGCTGCTTGCGGGGCTTCTTTCTGGGTGAGGCTCCAGGGGTGATGTCTGTGGCAGGGACTGCCAACATCTGTGCACCACTGTTTGGCCCTGATGCCACTGAGGGAAAGAAACTGCTTCATCAGGTAAAGTATGAGCAGACTGATGTTTCTGCCTTCTGATATGTGTTTCTCTGAAATATAACATCATTCTACGTCATTTTTTCATTGTTTTAAATATGTAAAATACTGGTTAAATGAATTTATCGCCATGTCAAATACAACAGGATTAATTTTCAGGCTGATTTATAGATCGACTATTAGTGTAAAATCTTGTTTGCATAAAGATCCCACCTGGTTTTGTACTATCCATAGGCTCCGCCTCCTGCTTAATATTCATCTCTGGGAGGGTGGAGCTGATGGCACATGCTGAATTAGTGCTGGCTGCTGGCTGAGTGGGCGGGGCCACTACATTGGCCATGGAGGGGATTGGCGGGGTGACTGCCATGGCAACAGGTATGGCTGAAAGAGCAGGAGTGGGTTGAGAGGGGGGTGTTGCTGATGTCAGGAGGGAGGGGAGAGGTTGAGAAGCCAGCTGGGAGGGAGGTGGTCCCACGTGTTGCGGTTGCCGTTCAGTTCCATGGCTAGGAATAGCCTCTATTGCTGCAGTTACTGATGGAGCGAGACTCATGTGGATGTCAGGTTTGGGCTTCACTCTGCAAAAGAGTTTGAAGATTTAGTGTTTATAAAACTAAGCTGCAATTAAAGACCAAGTAATACTACAATGAGAAGGACAAATGTATTAAATAAGACCAGAGATCTTGTAAGATCAATTTGAATACTTCATACCCTGCAGGACGAGGTGATACTGATGCACTTCTGATGGGTCCATCGATTCTGGGGGTTGTGGAGTCACTGAGCTGACCTGGGATCAGGTTCTTCCTAACAGCAGCACTTTAATAAATCAACAGAGACAGATTAATGACACTTCTGAGAACATCAATAAATTTTTTCCAAAAGAATTTTAAATGACTAAACTAAAAACATACTAGAATGGCATAGAAACTATTTACGGTAGATTTTCATCAGTGTTGTATTTGTTACTTAAACCGAAAACTATTAAAAATAGTTTTCAGTAATTCAAATAAAGCTTAAATAAAATACAATCATTTGGCAACTGACTAATTTAAATGTTTGTTGAAGTACTAAAATTACTAAAACTGAAATAAAAATAATACAAACTAATAAAAAAAATTAATATAGATGACAAAAGCACTAAAATTAAAATTAAAATTAACAAAATAAAAAAATCTAATTCAAACCATTAATAAACACTACAATATATAAACAATACCAACATAAAAACTGATTCTCATACTAGACAAGAGTTGGTCATATATTTATACAATTCCTTCTGAATTATATAAATGAAATTATATTCCAAGTAAAGAATCTAACACCTAACACCTTTTAGTACCAAAATTTTGTGAAATGTTTTGCAATATGGCCTGTTTTGACGATGATTAGCTAATTAGCAACCAAATTAAGTAACGTAATGAAAAACATTTGTTCAAATTGTTAGGCAGTAAAGGAAGAATAATGGTAGTAGTCATTAATTTATTTTTAAATCATTGTTTCTGGACGAGATGATTTTCATTACTGCATTACAGTAATGAAAATGTTTTCTTGAATTAGAAGATACAATTTGGGAGGAAAATACTTTGACAATGCAAACAAAACTGTAGTACTCCTAAATTGATTTTCTTCATTTTCAAAATGGAATTTCTTATTTTTTGTTGGTAATTCTGGGGTGAAATATGACATGGTTCTGGATTCCTTTTTGTTTTCTACAATGTGAATTTAAACTACGCACACAGGAAATACTTTTAAATATATAAATTGATGCAGGACTCGCTTGTATTTTTTGCTGGTAAATATGACGTGGATATCTCATAGTGAGATTTACACTTGAACAATATTACAGAGAACATGACAATAGTGGGTTTTTAATGCTCACCCCTCATTGGCAGGTTTCTTGCGCAAAATGCTGGGTCGAGGGGACGTCACAAGTGAGGGGGTTCCAGCGTTGGCACTCTGATTGTGCGTCTGGGCCACAGTGGTGGCAGGCTGACTGTTGTTGAATGCATTGCTAATAGAGTTAGCCACTAGTGTGGAACCATCGGCCACAACAACTGAAAAAAAAAAAAAAAACAAGCACCATGGTACCTGAATAAGGGCGTATGGATGACACAGAGCTGGTGATGGGGGTGTACGTGTGGGTCAGCGGGTACGGTGCTGATGGGTAGGTGGGCAGGAAGTACTGAAACTGCACTGGAACAGATTGTCTGTGGAGAGCCATAAAACATCCCATTAAAAGCAGGGCAAACAGACATATGCTTGTCCTAATTGAACCCTAAACCTGATGTGAAAATACATTTTACTGCCAAAAACACATTTTAAATTTAAAAAGCTTATGTCCTTTAACATTTTGAATAGACAGGATTTATACCTGTTGTCAGTGCGGTTCTCCATGGTGATTGGGTTGGGAGAAGAGCGGTGACCAGAGATAGGGATGAGGTTGCCCCTTTCTCCAGTGTATTCGGACTGGATACGTGGCGACGTGTGTGTGATGGGCTGCGGGACCACTTTAGCTAAAACAGACGGGGAAAAATCGATAGTTAATTCCATCAGTTAAAGCTTTAACCATTTTACAAGCAAAATCTTCCTGGAAAATCTGCTTGTAAAACAATGTAAACAACAGCTCTGTTGCAACTATGTAAAGGCATCATAGGTGCATTCCCAGTGTGAAAGCTGTGGCATCGAAATAGTCAGACTGTTAAATGAATACATGCACAATGTTTCCTGCATTCAACTAAAGTCATTTTAGGGCAAGTCTGTTCAGTCTGCCATTACAGACGTTATGCCTCCAGGCAGCTACTTCCAGCCATGCAAGTACAGCTCCTATTTGTTTGAATGCAGAAAGAATGAAATCTATGTAAATCACAATTTAATAATATATTTCAAACCAAGAATAAAATGACAACAGTGATCTGACAACTTTGAACATTGTGTAGTGTGTTCCCAGCATGTGCAAAACTTGTTTATGGTTCATGAAACATGAAAAACATTGTTTAAACCCTTTCCAATAAAGATATGTGAAGCTTAATATAAATAAGTTATTATAAAAGTTGAAAATAGTCATGCTGCGTAATATTTTTGTGGAAACTAATACAGGATTTTTCAGGACTTTTGGATGAATAGAAATAGTTTTTTATAACAATGTTTATTCTTTGCTGAATTAAAGTATTAATCTTTTAATTCTGACTGTAAAATTTAGCACGGTAGTTTATGTAATCAAGAGTAAACAAACAGCCGATTGACCACGTGAGATTGCGATTTGTGTATGATTGGACTGTCTCTGCCTTACACAGTCTCTGATTCTACCTGTAGGAAATATTATTGATCGCATTTCACCATTAAAATTTCATAGTTTAAATCAATAAATACCTTGCTGGGTGCAAAATGTTAGTAACAAGCAAATAATAAGATGCTCAAACTGTTACTATAAAGTCTTAAACTGATCAAAAAAGGGTAAAATGGGGTAATCTTTTTGTATACTACATCATAATACACTGAACGTCACAAAGCAATAAAGATATGTGAAGCTTAATATAAATAAGTTATTATAAAAGTTGAAAATAGTCATGCTGTGTAATATTTTTGTGGAAACTAATACAGGATTTTTCAGGACTTTTGGATGAATAGAAATAGTTTTTTTATAACAATGTTTATTCTTTGCTGAATTAAAGTATTAATCTTTTAATTCTGACTGTAAAATTTAGCACGGTAGTTTATGTAATCAAGAGTAAACAAACAGCCGATTGACCACGTGAGATTGCGATTTGTGTATGATTGGACTGTCTCTGCCTTACACAGTCTCTGATTCTACCTGTAGGAAATATTATTGATCGCATTTCACCATTAAAATTTCATAGTTTAAATCAATAAATACCTTGCTGGGTGCAAAATGTTAGTAACAAGCAAATAATAAGATGCTCAAACTGTTACTATAAAGTCTTAAACTGATCAAAAAAGGGTAAAATGGGGTAATCTTTTTGTATACTACATCATAATACACTGAACGTCACAAAGGTTAACTAATCTGACTAATAAGTATGAAATATCTCTAGCATTACTTGATATATTTACAGTATTAGACAATACCTGCTACAATACAACACCTATATACTTCTGTGCTACTAGAAATAAAAACAATTCCAGAGCAGATGAGCTAAAGGTAACTTACCCACAGGGATGGTGGATGTGGTCACTGCTGTGGCATGAGAGGAGTGGGAGGCCACAGTCATAGTGACAATGCTGCTATTGGATATTTGAGTGTGGGGGGTGGCGCCTTTAAAAATGTGTTAAAATGACATAGCAGGTCTTTAGTACTGTAATACATATGTAAACATAATAGTCTATGAAATTTGCATGGATGCCTCTGAATCACCGGTGTGTAGAGTAGATTTATCACTCACCTGTTGTAGTGAGTGATGGTGCCGTATTGGTGGCCTGAATTGGAGCAACTGTTGCGGCAGCAACATGTGTCACAGTGCTGAAAATGGGCTTCTATGACAGAGCAAACGAGAGGTGTTACTTCCTGTTTTTTTTTTATATTTCCAAAAGGATGGGGCAGAATGATGTCAACCTGTGCAACAGAGTGAGAAAGGGCTTTCTGAGCAGCAATGGCAGGGTGGGAGGGCAGGGTGATCCGTGTGGGTGTGTCCCGTGAGGGCGGAGGGCGTTGAATACTCAGGGTCGCTTGGGGTGGGTGGATTGTCACCGCAGAGCGTCTGGAATTCAAGAAAAACAAAACCAGACCGTTTAATATTTTCTACAATTCAACTACTATAAATTATACAGATGCACAGAAATGATTTTTTACTGAAACACAGAAACTGAAAGTTTATTTAATAACACTTAAATAAAACTGAGTTGTATATAAACATTTACATTGCACATAAGGCAGTTTCTATATCAACTCTTTAATGATATAATGATTTTTCTGCTCAAAATAAAAATTTGTTGGGACTAATATAAACATCTAAACAGTGGCTGTGATAAACCATTCCTTTCATAACATGTATGTAACATACATTAGGGGTGTAACGGTACACAAACATGACGGTTCGGTACGTACCTCGGTTTTGATGTCATGGTTCGGTACAAATTCGGTACAGCAGGGGGGAAAACTAAACAATTTTTCTTTTTTTTTTAAAGGGGTCATATGATGCTGCTAAAAAGAACATTATTTTGTGTATTTGGTGTAATGAAATGTGTTTATGCGGTTTAAGGTTCAAAAAACACATTATTTTCCACATACTGTACATTATTGTTGCTCCTCTATGCCCCGCCTTTCTGAAACGCGTCGATTTTTACAAGTTGAAGCGAGCCCAATAACGTGATATTTAGTCCCTGGAATGTGAATTTTACTGGAAGATCCCCGCCGAAAAACGTGTATTTTACCCCCGGAATGCGATTTTTACAGGGCATTTTTACTAACCTCCTTGAAACGCGATTCGACTAGTTTTATTGGGAAAACCTGGCAACCCTGTTTATTAGTACCACCTGTTGTCAGAGTGCGTCTCATTCAGACCTGCTGTTGTTTCGCGCAGATGTTTTATGTAGCAAATAAATAAATAACACCTAAAGTCAGACCATTCTGTTTTTGTTTTAAATCCTGAAATTAATCTAAATCAAATCAAAAACAACTGCCCGTGCAGATCGTGATTAAAATGCAGTGGTTGCCTCTAATTTCAAATGGCTAGATATTTTTGTTTAAAGCCAGTTTGTTTGTTATAAAGCAAATAGCCAATAAATAAATTTGCTTAAAAATCAGTATCAGTATCAGAATCCAATTTGCTAGTAAAAAAAAAAA